GAGTTGGTACGCATAATGCGTTCTTACGATTATGAGAAGCTTCTATGGACGACTTCAAGAGCCTTGAAAGTGTTGTCCGTTTGTCTTAGTAATAAACCGGTGATAGTCGAAGCTGGTGGTATGCAAGCTCTTGCTATGCATCTCGGTAATCCAAGCCAGAGACTCGTCCAAAATTGTTTGTGGACGTTACGAAATTTATCGGACGCTGGCACCAAAGTCGATGGATTAGAAGGTTTATTACAGAGTCTTGTACAAGTTCTTAGCTCTACCGACGTAAATGTCGTTACATGTGCCGCTGGTATTTTGTCGAATTTGACTTGCAATAATCAACGTAATAAGGTAACAGTATGCCAAGTGGGAGGTGTCGACGCTCTTGTACGTACAATCATTTACGCGGATAGTCGGGAGGAGATCAGCGAACCAGCGGTATGCGCGCTTCGTCATCTAACGTCACGTCACGTGGAAGCGGAAATGGCACAGAATTCAGTCCGCCTAAATTACGGAATTCAGGTCATAGTAAAACTTTTACACCCGCCTTCACGTTGGCCATTGGTTAAAGCTGTAATAGGATTAATTCGCAATTTGGCGCTTTGTCCCGCGAATCACGGCCCGCTTCGTGACCACGGCGCGATTCATCATCTGGTCAGGCTTCTGATGCGTGCTTTCCCCGAGACACAACGAGTAAGCATCCCTTTCCAAGCGATTCCGTATATTCGATTATTTAAGTTAGAACTTGTGTAAAAAAGATCGATTCCACTTTAGCAACAACGTTCATCCGTGGCAAGTACTGGAAGTCAGCAAACATCAGGCGCGTACGCGGATGGCGGTGTTCGAATGGAGGAAATAGTGGAAGGTACTGTGGGAGCGCTTCATATCCTCGCGAGGGAATCACACAACAGGGTCATTATCAGATCTCAGAACGTAATTCCGATCTTCGTACAGGTAATTTTAATATACATTTCCCTCGAAACTTGGTTTCCTTTAGTTTGCTCGATGTTAATAATTTGCTCTAATACGCTTGTATCTTGATTTTAGTTGCTATTTAACGAGATTGAAAATATTCAACGCGTCGCAGCTGGCGTACTTTGCGAACTTGCCGCGGACAAAGAAGGTGCCGAAATGATCGAACAAGAAGGTGCTACTGCTCCTTTAACGGAGTTGCTTCACTCTAGAAACGAGGGTGTCGCGACTTATGCGGCAGCTGTGTTGTTCCGCATGAGCGAAGATAAACCACAAGAATATAAGAAACGACTCTCCATGGAACTCACCAACTCTTTGTTACGCGAGGATACAAATCTTTGGAATAACGCTGACTTTGGGATGGGTCCAGATCTACAGGTATCGTAATCCATACATAATACCGATGCATGCTTCGCTTATGCCGTGGTTAAATTTATTCGTTTATAAACACCTTGTAACATAGCCCCGATTGTTTTTTCTTTTTTTGTTTTCATCTAGCGGCATGTGCTGCTGCGATAAAATTTTAGTATATGCTATACCGTGCTAGCTTTCGAATAGATTCTAGGAATAAACGCGTAAGCCGATTTTTATAAGACAGATTGTCATCGGTTCGTATGCTAATTTATTCAAGCATCAGATTTCCCTTTCACACTTGGTTACATCGTGTTAAGTAAATTAAGCCACGAGGGCATAATAACGATACAGCAATTTTATCTGACTAGTAACAGGTACTCGCATACGTAATCGTCCCCTTCATGTAAGTTTAGCAATATATAATTAGATAGTGTTTGCAAAACTGAATGTCGTTATCCATTATTCCAGTTCGCACAACTTAGGTGACAATTATGAAAATTAAATCGATTAGAGAGTAAAAACTTCAAACTTTGAACCCACATAGCATAAAATTGGCGAAAAACTTTCGAGTATCACCCATAATATTTGGACAAATTCTACGTATGTATTCACTATAACTCTCGTTGAAATCGATGCTTTAACCTTTCACGCTATTCCATATTCGCTGAAAAGTTTCAAATGAAATATGCCTAATGGAGCAATGGAACCTGTAATAAATGTACAGCGATGATTTTATTATGATATATCCTTAGATTGCAACATTACGTTATGCATGAGAATGCGTTTCATCATCATTCGTGTTTCATCCCCCACCATAATAGGTTGAATAACATAAAGCCATCCGCGATTGACTTTTTCAAACGCTATAAACGCGTCACACGTTTACTCATGTTCCACGTATTTTGTAATGCCTTTAAACGATGTTTTCGTACGCGGAGTTGTCGGTGATACTGCGACACGAGTATCTTGACGTATTACCCTCGCCGGCTGTTAAAGACACGCCTGTAAAGGAAGATACGTTTTGTGTTGATCTGAGCTACCTAATCTCTTCAGGACATGCTTGGCCCTGATCAAGGCTATGACGGTATGTATGGACAAGGACCTCCTAGTGTACACAGCAGCCACGGAGGTCGAGGGTATCAACCGCAAGGTAAGTTACGAGCCTTATCCTTTTTATCCGATTAATTGCTTTCGGACGATCGACACGGTCGATCGGTCGTAGATGAATTTACAAGTGAATTTTTACGGTGTTCCTTCCCCACGGTATTAACGGTGCGATCTTCGAAACTTTTGATACGCCTTGTAACGAATGTAACCCAAGAATCACTCGCTATCAAGACCTCTTTCAAACGAAATGTGTTCCCTTCGTTTCTGCATCAGAAAATCACTGGTAATGCGAATTCCTGTGCTCGTGTTCGTTTCCTCCCCCTATTTGTGCGATATACGAAATGAACAATTTGGTAACACCTTCGTTTCTAAAAAAAAAAAAAAGGAAAAAGAAAAAAAAAAACAACCGATGATGAGAAGAAAGCATTGCATTTAATTCTATGTTATTTTAACAGCAGCTTAACCCACGGACTTATATTAAAATACAGGCTATCAACAGTATCTCGCAGTAACATAGGTGATACTCAGCTCTTACGTACTGTTCTGTTATCTGCTTTAGTGACTAATCGCTAAATGTCTTCTTTCACACGCTTTTCATAGTTTATACATTGTATCTTATATATCCTGGCCATACGATACACGTTTTATTGAATTTGGTAAATATTACACATAATGCACGTTTTGTGAATGTTTCAATTTCTTTTTCATTTTTGTTTCTTATCAAGAGTACGACAGATTCATACGTAGCGTGTCTATTTATTTATTTTTTTATCTATTTATACAATGTTGTGCATGATATATTTGTATTTTTATCATCTTTCCTCTAAGTGAACGTACTTTATGGTGGAAAGAAGCATAGATAAGTATTCGTAAGTAATTAGATAAGATACGTTTGTCAGAAATGTGCTGTCGCGGAAACGAGTATTGCGAAGAAAGTTTGTTATCAAGTATTATCAGTTATACGCGCGAATTCAAACTTTGGCTTTCTATTTGTCCCTTTTCATTTACCTTCAATCGAATGCATCTCGTGGCTATCATTCTACTCGTTATTTGTCTCGAATTTAGTTGATTTCACGCAGTATTTTAACCTATTAACCGGGAAAAAGTTATTGAACCTGTTCAATATAATTCTTTTACTTAGGAATATCCTATCTCTTCGTACATCCTATTTTTGTTAGAAATTAATTATACCATATTCGTATTAGCAAGGTCTAAAGTCGATGTAACTGAAATATTTCTCCATCGTTAAGAAATGTATCTTTGTCGCTAATTTTTAATTTCATATTGTAATTACAGAACATTTCTGTTCAAGGGACGACCCGGTTAATAGATTAAAAGTGTCGGTATCGCAAATCAAGAAGAAATGAAACTTTCATGATTTGGAATAATCGTTTGCTTTCTGTTCCTGCTTTATAATATCAGAGAACGAAAAGCAATGGTATCTCGGCGAGAGAACCTAATGTCGCGATTATCTAGCAAGGTTGTGCTTTACTGGGTTGAGAACATTTTCACAGAATCGTTGACGCTGTAGTTATTTTCGATTAAATGTAGTAAGGTAAAGGGCTACACGTTGGGTTCATTGTAAATTTTGTACGAAACAGGTTATGACCAGATACCAGTAGATTCGATGCAAGGGTTGGAAATAGGTGGAGGGTCGACGTATGGCGCGATGGACACTATGGACGTAGCGCACGAGGGTGACCTGAGTTTCGATCATTTAGGAGAGCTTCCTGCACCCCCGCAAGATAATAACCAGGTTGCAGCTTGGTACGACACCGATCTATGAAATTGTGCCAGCATCGTATCTCGCCAGAGAAACGGATCCGTGAGGCTCTTAAGTAATTTCAATACGGACTAGTAGTATCATTAACGTAACTACGCAATCGTGGCGGTACTTTGCTTCGTTCGATGCTCTGTACGCGCCTCCGATCGCTGTCGATGTATTAGACTTAAGTGAGAGACACGTAATTCATACACACCATGTATATGTATCATTTAATTGCTCATACGAATAAACTGAACGATTAAGTATTCAAATCGCGTCAGCCGGTTTATTCACACCTGTATTTTCCTTTCGACTGGAATTTATCAGAAAGCGTAACGTAACAAGATGGTTAAAGTCCTTTTGGGATACGTCGAGTTGTTTGTTAACATAGTACGTGTGAGTTAAGTAGCACGCGTGAGGTAGATCTAAGCCGTATAAGTTAGTTGTAAATGAATTTCTCGTTTAGATGTCTGGTAGTTTCCAACCATCGGATCGAGCTCAAGTTACCGATCGTCCATCAAACTAGTCCATAACGAGCATATATGTAGGTGAACGAGCGAACGCGTACCATCGGTATTTAGTGAATTATTTAGAACTAATACGTGTATGGAAAATATTTACGTATATGGTGTATACCAATCTTACTGGCGTAAACTTTGAACAAATATTTGTACAATTTCTGAAAGCCAAGATTCTCGTAACTGTGTCAATCAAACAATTTTTCCCTACTCGCTAGATTAATAATATTATCGTTCAACCGTTTCACGATTAAATGTTTTTTAACATGTTTTAAGGATATTTCTCTTTATGATTTATTGATAGTATACGTTATATATAATACATAATTATATTATACATTATTTTATTTGCGTAACTTAAATACGTTTAGATTATAAGAATAGACCTAATTGTAAACAATTAGTGGGGTAACAGGTAAACGGTATATGTATACACTTGAGGCATTTCTGTGAAGGAGAAGGGCGCGTGTACGTTTCTCGGGGTCATTAATCGTGGCGGTAGTCTGTCGAGTGCACATTCGTGTGTATACCACGCTCCCCGAAGGTTCGGCTGTCGCGTTAACGGTTATTTCTTTCTGTGATACGAAGAAAGAGGATCGCCTTGACGAGCGCACGGTTGCTTCGTAGAGTGTGAAAGGCCGACTTAACGTTCCCGGCAGTCGAAGAGGGAAATGTTTCCGGTACGACCGACACAGCTGTCATCGAATAACAGCCAACCTTTTTCCAGTGAAACGAAACGGTGATGCTGTATGAATCTTGGTGTATATCTCGCGTGTACGATCATTTTCGTGAATAAATAAAATCCGATTGTGAGAAAAGAAGCGAATATAAAGAATGGTTCGCAACAGTGATACAAATTGAACGATCAACCAGCAAGATTTACGCACACGAGGATTTACAAAAAGAAAGGTACGTTTAAAAATATCTGTATCTTTGTATCTTGTTATTTTTCTTCCCCGTGTATATATATTTTTGTTTTTAACGTTATGTTTTATCTTTTCGTACTTTTATTTCTAATTCTTTTCAGTACACTCTGTATCTTGTAATCATTTCTAGAAAAATCACGTTACTTGTGTGTTCCTTTGGTATTTTTTACCTTTTTGTATTATTGTTGTATCAGTGATTTATTTTGTATTTTTTAATCTTTATTTTCAGCCCTTTTTAATATGTTTTGTATTTAATAATAGTTGTACAATGTTCATGTTCTTCGCGTTCTCGGAACGTTTCTCAAACGTCTTTTTTAAACGGTATGTTTACTTATCCTTCATATTAATCCTAATCGTGTAACGCAGGTGGCACGGTCTTAGTCGTAATCGAAATCGATACTGTTCAAAGACAGCATTAATTTCCATCCGCAATCTACCCTTGAAATTCGATAGTCCACTCGTACGTCAAGAATGCGATATACTATAACGTAGAATTAAGTTCATTGACAATCTGCTGTCTCGAGGATAAGAAAGATAGTAGCCAATGTTGTTCCACGGAATTCAGGATTTAAGTAGTTACCCTTGAAAAGTTAATCCGAACGAGCAGTTTCGAGCGTAGCCAAATTCCTTGGGAACAGGTTAAAGCTAAAAATATTCGTTAGATTTCTTTTTTTTTTTTACAACCTTTCACATTCGAACGTGGCGTGAAATTTTACATAGACCACCGTTTCGCTGGACTCTTGGATATTCCGCGTCTTATTTATCAAGATGAACCGTCTATCTCGTACAATTCGACTGCGGAAATTTATGCAAATTTATATTATTATCAATGTCACCAAAGCTCCACTTGTTAATTATTCTAGCGTTTATAGTTAACATGTATGAAATTTAAGATATTTTTTAACGTAAATCACGCGGACTAATATTGATCAATCCTGCTGCGTCCTTTGAAGCATTCCCACGCGTAATCGTGTTTTCCAAAAAATCCTATGAAAGATGAGAAATATGATTTATCATATTTTCCACTCGTGGCCTTCGTGCATACTTTCTTACACGTGTTTCTATGCATTTTTGAATCTTTGAATCTCCCATAAATGTATAAAAATTCGCGATCTATGGGCTACGATCTCGCACAAAATCATAGGCAATTCGATTATTCGGTTTTCCAGCGAAGCTTCGAAAAACGTCGCGTTGCGTCGTGTCGTATCGTGTCGTGGAGAACCGGTAATGACGTGAAAGTGCATCCAGGAGCGAAGGAGCGATCTAACCAGCGGGTCTCCGTTCCCCTGGCAGTCTGGTTTCGTTCGACACAGTCTCCTTGGCTCGTAGTCGGCTCCGACTCGATCGAAGAAATTGTTCCTCGCCACAGTCTCGACTATCGATCCGTTTATGCAATCGAACGTAAAAAGAAAAAAAAATAAAAAATTCCTCGCTAATTTTCGACTTTATTCGTCTGGGAAATCGAGTCTGAATTTCTCACGACAGCTGTCTATGATTATTCCCGCGCACCTGTGTTAGATAGCGCTGGCCGATATTTTGCATCGCGTTATTAACAGGCACGTTATGGAAGAAAGTAACAATTAAAAAATTGATAGAAGAAAGTGAATTATCTGAAATCTGTGTAGACCGTAGACTGTACGTGGTAAAAAATTAAAGAAACTAATAAAGGCGCAATGCGACAGTGTCAAGTGCATTCTTTCGGATAAGATTTTCGGATATCGCGTAATTTTGCGCCACGTGCACTAATTTCTTCGCTCGTGGTATTCCTAATAGCAGTCGGCGGCGCGTCTTAAATACTCGTGTTTGTGTATACGTATGTTTGTGTTTGTACGCGCGCGTGTTTCGTTCTATTGTAATTGCTGACTTTTTTTGCATAGGTATCAAGAAGCGAAGGATATTGAACCGGAGCAAGAGGAGGACAAAGTGTGGAAGCGCAAGTACATGGAACTAATCTCGTCGGATAAAGGTTGTTGCCTCGCAAAGAACGGACGATTATCGGAGGTATTTGGTACAGTGCATAGAAACTAAGAGCGTAAATCGATATTCGGGGGATAGTCGGCAAAGGCTAACGAAACGAAACGAAATTCAGTTTTACGATGACGTTGGCGCGCCTTCACGCGGCAAATATACCGAAGAAACGTTGATGAAGCTGAAAGGAATCGTTTCTACGGCTGAAAGATGACCGTCGCGATGGAGCACAAGCGTAAGAGCTCGTGGGATTCGAAGGTGAGACGAATGTGGCGCACTTTCCCCCTGTACGCGCTTTCCTCGTTACCATCTTACTCGAGTCTCGCGGTTAATTAACTAGCTGGTCCCCGTGTGAAATCGTACGTGAAAAGAAAACGTAAAATCGATGAGAAACGATGAACGGTCGACGAAAATGCCTATTGTCTCGAACGAAAGTGTAACGCGGAACGATGTTTCCTCCCTGGTAGAAACTTTCGGAATGGCATTAACACGCTTTAAAATAGGAGACTGCAAACGCGATCCGCGAAGAAATCGTAAGCTAAAGCTACGTGAATTATTTTTGCGGTTACGTTGCACGCGCTCATTAACTGAATTACTTGCGCACGCTGCGGCAAACTGATAACTTGCGCAAACGGCCGAATCACCCTTGAGGCGGAACGGCGAGGTGCAAAAAGGAACGAAAAGAACTTTTATCGCTGTTATTCTTCTATCGGGAAGACCGCATTGTTAACGCCAGAACTATCGATCTTTAATACGTGGCAATATGTTAATACTAATATTTGATATTTAATATTTGATCGTAGATACGACATACATACTTGCTTAGAATTAACTCTTAACGTTTATAGAAATCTTTTCCGGGTATACTATGTATTACGCAAAAGATTTTATAAGACGTACGGCATGGCATGATTATCGTCGTTAAACTGGATTTTTATGTAAATTCGTATTTTTGTGAATATAGTTAAAAAAGAGAAAGTAGAACTTTAATCGAAAACTGTTTTACCCAGCAAATATTATTGGACACGTTATACTTTGGGTATTTTTCGTACTACGTGTATTTCGCATAAATTTGCACTTTGAAATTTCGTATAAATACATAAAAATCCACAATCTAAAAAACGACGGTTTGATTGGCTGGGTAATTTTTGTGTTAATATCGGAGAAGCGTCCTGCAATGCGTCGTTTCTCCGCAGACACATCGACCTTGTTCTCCATTGACCCCGAATGATGCGGCGTATGATGCCGAATACCTACGCACTCGATGGAGAACTAGGTTGACTGAAACAAAGAACGACGTGTTAGCTGGGTTCGGTCGCCTTGGGTTAAGCCGACATCTCCTCTCTTCTCGATGTACCGTTACTTCGCTAGTAGCACCCGATCTGTCGATTGGTATTCCGCTCGAGTTGTACGAATGACATTTGTCACGTGCTGCGCGATGGTTTTCAGAGAATTCCCCATTAAAACCTACGCGCTTAACGCTCACTTTTCGTTACTTGACCCTTTCGAGGCTAATGGCACGATACGTCCCGTAGTAACTGCGGTAACTTCTAAACAAACTGCTGCATTCATTTTTAATACTTCTCCGACATCGCTGAGACCTATTTTAAGACATCGGATTCCGCGACAAATGGAAAAGAATGAAAAATTATATCGAGTCTATGTTTTTCAAATTTAGCTGAATCACAGGTGTCTGTGTTACCATTGTATTAACGTCGTTGCTTGTTTTCCTAGTTTAAGTTGTGTTTCTATAGCAGACAGAAGGTAAACTTACCATGTTCTTTCCCCTTTGAACGATATATTTAGACAAATTTATTTTTCAAGCGAGTTTTATCATCACATACAGGCTTTTTCGTATTATTCTTGGTTCGTTGTTACAAAATAGGCGTTTGAAACTGCTGATGAAAGTGATTAGTATAGAAGGGTTAATAGGACTTGGCGGGTCAATATCCAATAGGCTCTATCGATATCGTAAGGTGGAAAAAGGCGGAGGTTACGAAAGGCGCCGGACCTTCCTCCCCGTCCGGAGAAAACGAGAGAAAACGATCGTCGTTGGTAGATAAGAGTCGCTTTAAGGCGATAACGATTGCTCTGCATTTAACTATTGGTCTGTTATGGTTAGGTGCACGCACGTGCTCCGTGTACCGGCACACCGCTGACCGATTGTAATTTCAAGCAAGCAGAACTCGTTCCTAGATTCTTGCTCTTTTGGAAAGGTAGTCCGACGTTTGGAATAACGGTAATAACGGTCAAGAAAGTCACGAGGAACCGGGCGAGCCAATGAAACTTGGTAGATTCTTTCCGTGGGTCGATGACACCGTTTCTTTCTTTCTGCGACAGACAGTCGTTCGATTGACTTCTACCTTTATCTCGAATTTAGAGAAATTCGTACGACTGCGCTTCAATCGTAAGAAAATTTTTAGAAGAGTACGTAGTACCGTCCGTGACTTGTTGTCGCGTATTGTTCGTATTTTTATCGCACTTTCAACGTTATGATAGAAGAACTCTATCGCAGATTCTTTACCTTTTTGCATGTCCGAGCTAAAAGATTGAAACGAGAAATATATACACATGGTTAGGGTTTCACGCTTATCTTTGATTTTGCAATAATTTGAAAGCGTCGTCTTGGCTGACGCCAACGGCGAAAATCGACAAAGAAAAGCCGATCTGACGATCTATTCTTACGGTTGGACGATTATCGTTCGACTCTATCCTAGCGGAACAAGAATGATCGAACTGACTTTCACGAAAACATCGCCAATGGAAAGCGCTTTTCTAACGTGCCCCGTCAGCTCTTGATTTTTCTCGGTCTTAAAGTCATCGACCGTGTCCATTAACGGAAGCCTTCTCAACTAGTCCGAGCGCATTTTAATCTCTTCGACCGATCTCTCTGGACCTCGTCGTTTACCGACACTGAATTCTACTTTCCACACCTGATGCGCTCAAATTTCAATTGACCGTTCTCGCCGCTAAGCATTCGATTAACCGGATGGCGAAATCATCGACAGCGATACATATCTAAGATACTCGAACAATTTGATATCTAAGTGTGAGAAATTCGTATAAAACGATACTCCTTAGATCTGTGTAACTTCTTATCTCGCGAAATAAATTCTCCAATTATAATTGTATCTACTAGATACCTTCGCGATGAACATTTATCCGCAATTTTGTAAGCAATGAGCAAATATTTGCATACACGTCTTCGGCACAATACGATACAGGATTAAAATTCGTAAATTGATATCGACACGGTGTGTCTGTTCCAAATACTCCAATTATATCGAACTTCCAATGTGTTTATGCCACTTATCTTTCTTTTAATCTTTCTCGTTGTTTCGTCGCGGATCATGGGTTGCCTTTCGTCAGAAGTTGCCGTTCCTTTAGCGAGAAAAGATCGAGTCTCTTGACCTTTTCGCTGTATTGCATCGCCAAGGAAAGAATTACTTTTACCAACCAACAGCGAACGCGTCCGCTAGAGAATTTTCGTTTGCCACGGTATAATTTTACAGCCGCGTATCTTCCATGATTGATCGTGCTCGATTAGCACAAAAGGTATAAGCCTTATTGCGAAACGTTGCTTTATTAAATGAGCATTTCCTACGAAAAGCCTGATCGAAGGCTATTATCGAATTAGGTTCGAAGAATACAAAGGTTCCGTGCTCAAACTTTCATTCCACTTTCGTAATATCTCTGCGCGCCATTGTTCGCCAAATACACCCCTCGATCGCTCTTTCTTACGTAACACGCGAACAAAATCCTCGTTTGCTTCGAACGCCGCCAGAAATACTTCTTCGCTTCTGCCGATCGTTCCAACCTGTGAGTCGCAATTTCCTTAGAAATAATCGAGACGGGAGGATGGTTTTTACGCAATCGGACGTAGGCGCGACGAAAGAGAAGGAAAACTCAAAAGCTTGGTATTCGATTTGCGAGGGAAGGGAACGCGTTTGGCTTTCAGGCTACACTGGAATTCGCTCACACTACGTCGGAGTATGAGTGCAACTAACGCTGTAAGCGTGAAAATGCCTTGGTCGATTTGCGACAGAAGCACACGAGTGTTGTTAGCACCTGTAGTTTAAAGTTTCCTTTCAATAAATGCGATTCTACTGTACTCGGTTAAAATTTTCTATCTAGCATTTTTTCGTGTTTCCAGATACGTTCTTTACTTTTCAATCCTTTAGAAACGGTCGTTAATCGCGAAACACGGTTACCGTGAATGGGCGACGTCATTTATTGATAATTGCATTGGTCTTGTCATTTTTCTACGTTTGGGGTCACGGTTTACGGAACTGTACGAGTACTCGAACATTTAGGTAAATACATACGTGTCGTACAGGCTGTTACAGAACAATAATTAGATTTTTTTTTATCGAATGAGAAAAAGACAAGCGCGTCACGCACGATGAAACTTTAGTTTCGCTCCGTTTCAAAGTGATCAAGTAAGACGTTGTAAGGAGAGCAGTTTAGTATTTGTGCGATGGTCGGAGCGCGTCGAAAGGAGCATCGAAACTTGGCATCGGCTGAAAAGGTACGATTCGCCGGTTCTTTGGTACGGAGCGTGTGCCAAGCGTAACATTTGAACGAGGGCGTAGGCCCGTTTGTGGCGCGCCGAGCATTCGCGCGAGTGCACGCGAACCGCGCCTGTGTTGGTGACGAATGTGCACGCGCATCGGTGGCGGGACGATTACACGGCCGCTTACACAGTTAGCGTGCACGTCACAGAAGATAAGCTCATTGCTCCCGACTCTGAATGCGGATTGTTCGACCGATGATCGTACACTGTGCACAATACACGTCAGTCACGAAAACCTACGCTTTTACTATAAACAATAAGTAAATACTAATCAATAAAGGATATAATATATCCCTTAAATGTAAAAGCGTATTATAGTAAAAGCGTTAGCTGTATGAATTTTGTGGGTACATCGGGACACATATTGTTAAAAAGTAATACGATCTTTTATTAAGAAAAGGAAGTCGAGAGATATGAAATATAACGCGTTACGAAAATTATGTACGTAAAATTGTTATAGGTGAAAATATTCGTAAAAGTGTAGTAGACTTAAAATTAATTACGATAATTAAGATAGTTATTAATATCGTTCAGGTGGCCTACATAATAATGTTCTGCTATGTCAATGACGTTGAACAAATTAGAGATTTTGTAACTTGTAGTGTAATTTTATCCCAAGATTCTTAAATCTTACAGTTAAATGTTTTAATTGGTTTCATTGCTTTTAGAAATGTATTAATAATCCTGTTGGTATGAAAGTATAAATAATTTTGCGGCTGCGAGTTTTTCATTTCTTCGATAAGACAGATACAAGGTCCGATAGGTATATACGTAGACTTTCGTGACTGACTCTGTAGCGTGTAAAGACTATATCGTTTATCGTGTACTTGTACAATAGTTGAATGCACGCGCAAAATCGCACGCAACTGGGATCCGACCGAGCGCATGAAACGCGGTTACATAACGCATAATAATATTTCGATAATTAGCACGATGATTACCCTGCCATTTCCACCGTGACACGCTTACTAGCGTCTTAAATTACCGGGTGTAAAAATTAGTCCGATGCATTAGTAGATAAACGAATTTCTGCTCAGATCCCACATATAAGTATTTCTTTGATCGTATTCACAGAGACACGATCCTTCGTACACATCCTCGCTCTAATTACGTCGTATCTGGAAGAATTAAAATCGATCAATTTGAAATTAAGTTGTTATATTTTAGTTTGATAATTGTAGAAACATCTAGATGAAGATTATCCCAACTGACAGGTTAAGCGACGTTCATTAACTCTAATTAACACGATAAAAATCGCTTCGGCAGGAATTCTTTCGCGTAGTCCGTAAGCGGAAGTAGGAGAATTGTTAATGCGAATCGTGCCTCGCCAAGAAATCTTAGTAATCCCTGCTCTGTCGTGTCTAATGCAATCTAGCGAGAGAAGAAAGGAGGGGTACGATGAACTCCCAACGTTTCTCTAAGCGAGAAAAGCAGTACCAGCGACATACATCTTAAAATTTGAACTCTTTGCATTCGCAATGCAATTTATTTTGGTAGACATTTTTTGCGGCGTAAATACAGGATGTATTGTAAGATGATGGAAGCCACTTCTGGCGTGGACAGGATACGGGAGAAGCACTGAAAAAGATTCATATGCACGCGTGTCCCGTATGATCTTGTTTCAAATTTATAGCCATTTTTGTATTTCAATGATCCGCAATTGCTCGCTTTCGTAGAAAGTGCTCGAGATATCCTCGGTCTCCATGCAAATTAGCAATCGTCGTATCAAAGAATTCCGCGATTTTTTTATTCCTTTAATCTGTCTATTCTCGAAGTGGGTCTCGTATCATATCGTATCACGGTACATCTTGCATATCTAATTTATAAAGTCATTATACATGAACTCTGAATCGAATCCGAAACTATGCTCGTCAAGCAATAAAATAGTTTGGCAGTTACAGACGTCAGTTGCATGTTGGTCCTTAGAAATCAAAATACTCGTCACAAATAGCTATGATGATCGTTAGACGGAAAGAACTATAAATACGTCGTTCGATAGTCATCGTGGAAGCTTAAAATCTAAAGTTCCCTCTTCTTTCTCAGTCGACGAAAAGGATTGTTCAAAATTCGCCGAGTAAACAGGATTGATCGAGCTTTCTCTTACAACCTTTTTCATCTTTCTTCACGCTAGCAGCGACGAATCGACCTTTCTTTTTCAGATATCGGTAAGCACGGTAAGCACGAGAAGATTCAGCCGTGCAGGAACGCCGAGTTCGATCCTGTCGTCGGACAGTGACATTCGATTTACGAGGAAACTCGGTGGACAGTATCGTTGCGGATGCTGCGTGTTAGCCGCATTCTTGCTTTTCCTCCTCTTCTCTGGAGTCTCCATATATCTTGGCTGTAAGTATAACACTCGAGTTTTGGACTATTTACGTAAAATAGAAAGTCTGTATCAAGTTGCTGGAAATGGTGTATTTGTCTAAATTTAAATTTGCTCAGTCAATACTAACGAAAGTTTGTTCTGTCGTTAATTATGAATCAGACTGAAAGAGAAAATGAAATATATAATATGTATAATAATTCTCCGCCAGCATTTTTCCTCTGTCTCTTATATTATATCTTCGATTAAAATATATCCGACATGTAACGTAAATCTTGTCGACTGTCGCTGTGATTATTGATGCTTTTCTAGATTATGTCGTTTCTTCTGCTAATTTATGCTGTGTTTCGTAAATATGCCGGCCTAGAGGCTTGATAATTCCTAGTTGCTGTTTGTCAAGCACAGAAGGTGCAGCACGAACGAGTACGAAGATCACTCAGCCAAGGAATTCGAAGTGCGCGGAAGGTTTCGTTCGTGCGCTTTCTCCGCGGACTTATACGCGATACGACCGATGCCGTAAATGAAATTACTGCACGGTTAACCGACGCTTTGGTGGACGTGAAACTACTTCGAAATGCACGACGCTTGTTTCGCAAGACGGACGAACTCTTCACGCTGTACGAACATTTTGTCAAGCGTAAAGTGTGATCGTCTTTTCTCGTTTGCAAGAACTTGCGTACGTTCCGCTTTACGGATACGTGTACTTCACCTTGAAATTGCTTTCGATCGTACGATGAAGAAGCAAACGAAGCGTAGCATGCGTCAGAGAGGAGTCGTCGTCTAATTGATGCAGATTCGTTGTTAATATTCATACGTAGATAACGGTGAATGCCGATGAAGGGAAGGTTTGGCGGTAGAACAGATGGATTTAAAGATTCCAGTTATAGTATTTTACGCGACAGATGGTCTCTAAAGTGGCGAAATTTTTAGAATGTTTAAGCGTTTGAATAGCTGCCTTGGTACAGAGAAGTAATATACATTGGCTTAGTGGGAACTGCGTGCGAATACTTGCCATGGAAAACTTTTATGTTCACATCGTACGCGTTATGTGAAAGGTTTTCAAATTTTGTTAGCATTGTAATGCGACACGCGTAAATGTATATAGAAATTATATAATATTCGTTACAACATATATGTATCTGGTAAAGAATTAGTATGCAGCACGAATAATCGTGCAAATACCGATTTATTACTTTTTTTTTTACAACTTTGCTTTTACTTTCGATTGTTAATTTTATCATTATCTGGTATAAACCCAAAATTCCGATCGATCTGCTACGCTTCCCTGATAATCTGATTGTACTATCGTGTTTCGTACGAACCCAGCAGGTGTTCTAATGACTATGAGCAGGTGTACCTGACTGTATCTTGTTGAGGAATCGTTGCTACGATCTGGACGTGCGTATCCTTTGGTGAACGAAGAAAACCGAACAAAAAGAGGAAGAGGACGATGCGGCCAGAGCCCATTGAGGTCTTTCAGCGTGCAAACATAACGGTCCGACCGAGTTACCGAGAAAATACGTTTACGTACACAGATCGGCTCTTTTATTCTCGAACGATCTACGTATCCTTCGATGAAGTTACTAGAATTGTCGGACGGGAACCGATTTACGAGAAAGGAAAGCGAATACAGTCGTGACGAAGCATAAAGCCTGCGCTCTATAATTCTTGTAGTATACGGGCAAAGAGAGGCAAAGGTCGAAGAAGATGCACGATCGCGTGGAGGTCCAGCAAAGAGGCCTTGAAAGTAGCGAAGCTAACGGTCTGACCGAGTTGTCGAGCCGTCCTGCCTGTCACCCCTCCAACATTCGACCTCAAAGGGGGGATCCGTGTCCTTGAATCATTTCGATGCTTCATCATACTAACCGAATTCTCCTTTCGAAAGTATTTCGCGTTCAAGGAATCGCGAAACGACGTGGTACAGACTGTCAAACTCATCCAGTGATTCACGAAACTATTCGAACGCTTATTTAACGTAGCACACTTTTATCGTACACATGTGTTATAAATATCTTATAGCTTCTATATACAGTTCCAGAATAGTTGGAAAATTTATCAATTCGATCCTGATAGTCTTGCGTCGTTGTAGTATCGATTTTTTGAAATCTCGTACAACGTAATACACGCGTGAAAATCGTCAATTGTAAGCGTTGCAATACTTTCGTACGTCATTGTATTATACTAGAAATCTGTTTCTGGTGTATAATGAAAACGATGTTATTGCTGTTGACGTTGCTTGCGCGGTAGAGCCACAAGCCGCAGAAGATCGCTCGCTTGCCGCAAGAAACTGTATCGCGAAGCGAAAAAATAATCTCTGTGGAGTAAAAATAATCGACCAAAGGCACGGTGAAAGGTGAACCTCCAGCCGTATTGCTGTTGGTGCCCGATTGCCCTCAATACTTTAGTTTATGTTTACGGTATCGGTCGAATATTAACTAGGAAAAATTGATAGCGGTTTTTAATATAAAAGAACGGCTGACGCCGCGTTTGTACAGACACGTCTCGTTACTATCACGTTCGAGAGAACGTGTTGTTTCAAGATGGAGTATTAGAAAGTATCATTTAGCGATCTGATGGTCGCAAGATGGAAATCGGCCGATTACCCCGCAGTGAAATCTGTTTATTTCCCTTTTCCCGCGCCCTCGGGTAACTACCAATTACGGTAAATGGAATCGATCGATAATTATCGACATTGTAAATAACAGCCGGTTTTCGTTTCATTCTTAAGGACAGCGCCGTGACATCGATTAATCGCTACCCTGTGCTTCACAATGTAAATTACAGATATTTATGAGAAACTGCAACGTTTCACACGTAAAGTTACACATAATATAATTATGCTCTACCGTTCGAGAGTATCTTATTTTTAATAAGATGTATTTCAACTATAAAATAACCGTCATCGTTTAAATTCGAAAATTTGGAAACTCGAAAGCCCGAAGTCCGAATATTTGGAAATACAATGTTAACAAGTTGAGGTAATTGTTCGAGTTTGCGGTAGCGTTTAACCTGTGTGCTTTCAGACACGTTCCTAACATCGGATCCCCCGGGTGATCAGATTTTCTTGGCGACATTCCGAGTGATCGAAGGTGATTCCTTCGTTTCGGAATTGGCAGACCCCTCCACCGAAGCCTTTCGAATACGAGCACGGGAGTATCGCGATCGACTTAATCTTATCTTCCGCCGCAGCTGGCTGAGAATCTCTTTCCTCGCTGTGGAGATACTGGCGCTCGATGGGTAAGTATACTTGCGGAAGCAAAATAGCATGATCGTAGGTTTACATGTTTCAAACACCGACACGGTAATTTAACTTTCTATTAAAATTTCTATTAAAAACTGAACTCACGAAGGAAAGTTTAATTTAAAAGATTTCTCTGCGAACAAGAATACAAATTCATCGGTTTGCGACGATTAAGGAGGATTAGTCTTTATCATTTATACGCCAGTTTATTAGTTTAGACTTTGATATGTTTAAAACAAATGCGTGGTTGAGTACTCGAAAGAGCAATTACGAAGAGAAATTCACTTTTCGAATGATGTCATAGATCCATTAAAATGCATATGTTTCATTCGAAAACGAAATTGTAATTCGAAGAAAGCCGCTGATTCGCTCGAATCCGTATCGATATTTTCATATTGAAACATCGAAAGCCGAGTTGTCTTCCTTGAAATTTTACCGATGTCACGAGCAAGAGAAACCCAGCTATCTCCACACTTTCTCGTGACATCACACTATCCATATTTTTCTAACCGGCAACTATTTGTCGCAAATAAACTGTACAGATCCGAAGGTGAGAATTTGGCCGTACATTTCGAGATTCGATTCGATCCACGATACCAGACAATCAGCACTGCCGATGTCGTGGAAATTCTTACACGGGAGATCGATCCTACAACCTCGAAATATTTAACAAATCTAACGATCGACTCGCAGAGCCTCGAAGTTCAAGAGAGCTTGACAGCTCTAAACGCTCAAGTCGCTCAACAAACGACAGTTTCGACGCCACCACCGACCACCACACCACCGCCTCCTAGAAGATGCACCAGTTTGGATTTATCTTACTGCAAACATCTGCCATACAACGTTACTTCGTATCCGAATATATTGGGACACCGTTCATTGGCCGACGTGGAGGAGGACGTGATCGCTTTCAGGTGAATATCAAGCCGCGATCTCCGAGCAAAATTTCCCAAATAGAGCGAATATGGCAGAGGTGACGCATCGTTGATCTCTTGAAGAGAAGACACGAAGATGACAGTTCTCTTGCTTTTACGTAGACTTAGTTAAGTTAAATTGCCCGAAATGGTGTCATTAATACGTCAAATGGAAAAGGATATTTTAGAATTGGAAAAAGTCGATTGTCGACTTCGATGTGTCATTCTTAATCTATTTCTTATTTTACTAAAAGAAAGTCGAAGTAATGGGGAAATTCTGGTGATGCAGTGTGCAACAATCGCTTTAGTCGATCGTTGTTAATACAAATTTTCTGTCACAGGGAGCTAGTGGATGCGGAATGTTACCGATTAGCGTACGACTTTGTGTGCCAAGTATTGCAACCAGCCTGCGTATCGAACCAACCGGAAGATCTGCTACAGCTGCCATGTAGAAGTTTCTGCAGAGAATTCTGGAGCGGATGCGGCAGCCGACTTCCGGACAGAATTAAACGCCTACTGGATTGTTCGAATTTCCCGGAGTACGCGGACCAAGGTGGTTGCAGAGCAAAGCCAGGTGAACGATCGTAGCCTTTCGCTTGCCAAGCAACGCGGAAATTATCAAGTGTCACGGACCTTTGTAATTACCGCATAATCGTTATCGTAGGATGCGTGCAAGCACTTCAAGCGAAAGCATTGTCACCGAGAATTTGCGACGGCGTGATCGATTGCCCTGACCTTTCCGACGAGAAAAATTGCGCTTATTGTCGCGACGGTCATATGCATTGCGGTGTAGGTAGAACTTGCATTCCACGTAGCAAGAGATGCGATGGAAAAGCGGACTGCGCCAACGGCAGTGATGAAAAAGATTGTCGTATGTATGGTCAGTGGAAGGAGCGTACAGAGGTCGTAAAATCGGGGCGAAGTTAAGGTTTATGAGTTTCAAGAACCGACCCAACTGGTTGATAACGTTGGCAGAACATAAGAATTTCTTATGCTGTTCGCGTAATCAAATACTCGCGTGCACGGTTTAACAACGATCGATAATAAAGTGCTAAAGGGGACATTTTTATAATTTGTTCTCTTCAAATGCTAATAAATGACAAAGTTAAACACGTCAATAGCTAGATATATTTTAATTTTGAGATACAAGTTTCTGGTAACTTTACACGCGCTCACACATATATACAAATACTTATTTTCTATGTATGATTCGTTAAAACAACTAAAGAAATAAATGTTAAAGCGTTAAAGAGATTTTTGATGTATCGTGTAAAGATCATGTACAAGATCGCAAGACTGATAGCTGCGTGCAGTTCGAAAGGCGAGAATTTAACAAATAATAAAACATACGTGATTTATTAATAACTCCGACATTTGTAATTCGATAAAAATCTTACTATCGCTCATTGACGACAGCCGCGTTTTTTACGACCTCGCCATGTATATCGTTTCCACCTATAACATCGTTCAGCGTCATGCATCGCATACTCGTTCTTGACACCATATATTCTCCAGTATCTCTAGCACCTAGTATTCGATCCGTGAAATCACAACCTTCGGATACACCGTTTGCCGCAAAGTATAACAGCGAAGGGTACGTGGTGTTCAACGAGAAGGGTACTATCGGAAAGCTTTGCACCGCAAATCTGAACGCGACACTGCCAGGAACGGAAATGGAAACCGTTCTCCAAACTGCCGCCAGCTCCCTGTGCAGCTTGCTGACTTACACGTGAGTATAGTTCCCCGTGCTTTGTCTTTTGCAATGTACACAAGCGAGCTGTAATTTGAGATGCTGGAACCAGAGAGATGCGAGTGACATTTTTCTGATATCGAGCGAAATGTGTTAAGAAATTTAATTTAATTTAATCGAAGCCTCTTACTTTTCACAGAGGGGTAAAGTCCGTGGAAGTTCGAATCGACGACGAAGAGGATGTTCAATACGTACATATGGAGGATCCGTCGGCTACAGAGATTACGTTTGTTAGAGCTCCCTGTCCGAGCAAGGAAGTCATGTACGTCCGATGCTCTGAATTGGGTACGTTGTAAGAGCTGTTATTTTCCTCAAGTTCACGCTAATGTATAAAATATAACTTACGCTTAGAGTGCGGTGTACAATCTCTACATGCAAAGAGCGGTAGCCGGGGACTTAATAAAATGGCCGAGCCAGGAGATTGGCCTTGGCACGTGGCTCTGTTCAAGGAAGATGTACACGTATGCGATGCTACGCTCGTGGCGGAAAATTGGTTGATTACAACGGCGTCCTGTTTTCAAGGGTACGTTCCACTTATTCCTACGTACTCCATTAAAAAATTGAAGTATTTGTAACATTATAATCGACTATTTGATTTTCAATGGCTCAGTGGAAATACAAGGGATGATTTCTTGCGAGAAAGACTGAGAAACAAGTCACAGTTTTATTCAAAACTTTTTTAATTCGTGTTTGATATAAAGGTTTATAAAATAGTTTAAAAAATATGGTGTACGTTTTATATAAAAAGGTCTTACGTCGACAGCAGGATAGGCTGCCCTTCTTTTTAACTGCGTTACATTAAAATACACTAGAATCTAGAAGATTGTACTTCTTTCTCATATGTTCGCCCAGGATATTCATACGAAGGTGGAGTTATTTGATTATACGAATAACGCGTGGCATTATTATAACCAAAGTTGTGCTATAGCAATCCGTTAACAATTTCTTCTTATATAATAACTCAATTACAGTCAGCCAAAGGCAGAATGGTCCGCAAGAATGGGTACTGTACGCCTCTCGAGCACGTCGCCGTGGCAACAAGAACGTAGAATCGTGGGTATGATTAAATCGCCGGTAGAAGGGAGTACGACTGTCCTATTGAAACTCGATCGACCTGTTACCATGTTTTCGGATTTCGTAAGACCCGTATGTTTGCCTTCGAGTCAGGATCGACCAATGAATGCTACTCATTGCAACACCCTCGGATGGGCCAGAAATCGTGAGTAATCACTAGCGTGATGCATGGGATTCTTGTAATCGAACAATGTACATCGGTGCGGCAAGGTCGCGTTATTTATTTCTTCGATGGATTACGTAAGAATACGTAATTATGCGTGCCGCTTATTTATCTCATTGGTTGCGTCGACCTTACAATTAGAGGGATGCGAAAGTGAGATACTGGTTGCACAATATCATTGACAAGATCTTCTCTATTTTAGCTCAAAGTGTTATGTAGATACTATTACCTTATAAATATGTAAGTACCTTGTTGTGGTACTGATTTATTGTCTCGATATGATGAAAAGCAACTGTTCGTTATTGTATAACCATTGTATAAAGAAACCAGTAGACACGCTGAAGCTCCATTTGCATAAAATTGAATTAGCCAGACTAACGCTTCAAAAGTGTGATAATATTAGATATATTTTTGATTGCTTACAAAATTGTATTCATCTGTTTAAGTTTATGTATTCTTAGTTATTCTTAATTTCTGATTTATTATAAATTCCCTTCCCATTCATTAATAGTCAATAATTGTAAATAACATTAAACTGTAACTGACATTGATATCAAGAAATTAACGATACAATTGTCATCTGTTTTCCGTGCTCTCGTCGCATTATTTCAATACTTGCTTCTTAATGAATTAACAACATCAGAAATTGAGAAAGCTTGATATTAAGGAAAGATCAAAAAGTGTGTATTTAACGTTTTCGTGTTTCTTAAAAAAAAACCATCTTCTTTGATCAGGAGATTTACTACAAAGGGTACAGCTTAAGCACAGCGCGATGGAACAATGCGAAAACATCAGTATCGCGTCCGTGAATAGCGTCTGCACAGAACCGGCCTATTCTACTGACGATTGTAACGTAAGTGAGCCACAGCACATATACAAAAGACTCGTTTATCCTTTGTTTCTCGTATGCCGTGATCTTTCGGTGTTCATACACAGTCGAGAATATCTAATTACTGTTTATTGTACACAGGAAGAAGAGGTCGCCGGCAGTCCTATGTTATGTCTTCAGCCGGATGATCGTAGATGGGCGCTAACAGGTGTCGGAAGTTGGCGAATAGCTTGCTCGAAAGCTGGTGTCGAAAGGCCACGATTATACGATAAAATTTCCTCGAATATCGCTTGGATAAAATCTACGATAGAATAGATTATTTCTTAAAATAGTATTTAACAAATTAATATGAACTGACTGGGACTGAAATTGATATTACAATATACATACGCGATGTAGAATTATTTCATCAAATTTTCCTATCATATCTAACAGACTGTAAAATACGTATTGTAAATTAGCGCGTTAGGACGTATCATGTTATCGTGGGATACATTTCTCGTCTCTATTGTATAGTTTCGTCAAAGATTCGTTGTTGTATCCATTGTTCGTAAAATATCTACATATGTGTTACGGCGTTGTAAAGAAAACTATTTCAGTAAAGTATAAGTAGTCGAAAAACGAACAACACGAAAAATTCCTTTTCTCTGATAGACTTGCGTTCACAGTGCTCGGAAGGTACATTTCTGTTTAATTACGCTTTTAATCGTTATTATTATATAAGACTGTTTGCCTGAAGCTCAGATTTGTCGTGGATTGTCGATGGTGAATGTGCATGGTTGGTATGTAAGGTTTCTATATCTATCTCCGGTGGTGTTACGAAGGAACTTGTGCGCAGAGTCAAGGTAGGGATGGTGGGAGGTTTTAAGTAGAGTTGCTGAATAAATGCTCTTCAGTTGCATGGCAAACATTGGTCCAGTGAATACGTTGTTGCGACGCGTAACAGCGTGTACACAGATTGGAATTAACCGGCTCGGTGGCATTAGAAATATGGTAAGGAAATCGTAATTGTTAACAAAACGGTTTTTTCCAGCGCATTTGCTTCTGACTGTGAATAACATTACATAACCTACGGAGGCATTCTCTGCCTAAGATTTTAGAGGGTGTCGTATTTCAAACGAGTTACGAGTCACGTTGCAATTGGACACTTTTATTTTTGTTATAAACATATACTGAGCAAATATCTTTGGGGCAATGATAGTACACATGACAGATTAACTGTGCCCATTATCAGTACTTTTCTATCGCGATATTTAACATCAGATTGTAGTACTACTGTCAAATTTCAGGTAAAATGCAAATCATTTATATTTATATTTTAAGTTTGAAAAACGAGTCAATCGTTGAGTCGTTGATTGAAGTAACTGATGTTTTATCATAATTGAGTCCTTTGCGAGAATCGTTGTTTGCTAAGGAATCGAAGAAATTGTCGGATCTTTCGGACCTGGCAAAAATCGAGGAGGTGGTCGATCACCCGGTTGAGTTGTTCAGGATTTGGCGCGATGAGGCACACAGATACAATGCAACGCTGGTGGACATTTGCTGTTTGTCTACTGTTTCGAAGTTAGTATTAACTATTTCGATCATTCCTTTTTGCAAATTGTATCGGTATAGTCTCGATAGCTATATCTTGACATAGTGCTACCGAAATTTAAAAATATTTTTGTCAAACACGTCGCACAAAATCTTGGTCTTTATTTTAGAGACTGTAAGGTGTCTGCGAGGAATGTCGTTCTGCGAGAATTCGATAACGATGGTTTCGTAATCGTAACGGACAGTCGCAGCAAGAAAATCGACAATATAGTAAGCCTGCACGAAAATTTTACAGTTTTGCATCGATCATATCGCATCAAAGGTGTAGCGATTTTGATTGAATTTTATCGTTTCAGGACAATGTTCCATACGCTGCCATGTGTTTCCTTTGGTATCATGTAAACGAACAGCAGCAAAAGATCACGAAACAAGTGAGCAAAAATCGACTGTTGTCGTCTTCCTTTCGTCGTATTTTTCATTTTAATTAAAGCATTATGATCGTCGTTCCTTTTTGCTATCGTATGATTATATTTTCATGCTACGACGGGAAGAACGATACACGCCTTGTGAAAGTAGATGGTTAAAAAGCCACGTGGGACTATTCCATAGCATGTACTAGCTTATCGTTTACTGGAGAAGATTATCTTTGCATGTTCGGTATTAGTTCTGGAAGAATTCATACGCAAAATATGTTTGCGTATAGAATACAAAGATAACGTTGTTTATATTTACTGCGGTGTTTATATTAGTATGCATCGATCGTGCGTTTCGTAATTAGGTCGCGGATTTTTATGCGTTTATGGGAAAACGCAACCTATTAGAATATTTAACTTAAATTTGGAACACTTTTCCAAAATATACTTAACATTGAAAGAAATCTTTGCGCAGATTCCAGTTTTTTAATTACCTTTGTAAAACTGAGAATTTGCATAAATATTTGTAGATTATTTATAATGAGTGATGCGATTGCGTTTATAGGTGAGAGTGGAAGGTGCCATGAAGAGATTAGAGAAAGAAAGTTTCAAGCATCTATACGACAGAGAGCCCTTGTTTTGCAAGATACGATCCCATATATGCAATCAAGGACGCGATGTCAATTGGGAAGAACTGAAGCAACGACACGATGAAATATTAGACTCGGTTCGTAGAGGGGAGAATGATTTACCGATGCCGGATCATTTGTAAGTTTATCTAAACTGTACAAATAATCAAGTTGATAAGGAATATTCAATATTTAAATATTCTTCCAGCGTTGGATATAAACTCTTTCCGACGATGATGGAATTTTATTTCGGGGGGGATTGTCTTATAGCCGATCGTATTTTATATCAGAAAGGTGCATCGAACGATTCTTGGGAGAATCATCATATAGCTGCATAATACATTAAATCGACGACAGCCACGATCTTTTTCTATTTGTTTTGTAATAAGATTTTAAAACAATTATTTCAAACATTATGAAGTATTACTTCTAAAACCCAATCGCCATATATCCGATCCTTCTTTAACCAATTTTCACCGATTATCGAGCGCTCATAGCCGAGAAATGAACGAGGAATGAATTGCCCGTAGTCTACAAGGAATTGGTATAAAATACATAAAATTACGTAAGCGTAATAAAGAACAAAAGTAGAAGGAAGAATCAATAAGATAAGTATATCTCTGTTAATTATCTATATAACCATAATGAAACCATAAAATCAAAAATCAACAAAACGAATGTAGATACTTGTCGCGTTTTTCTCCTGTGGTTTTCATATATGTACCATTAACCGAGACCGAGGCGGATAATTCTGCATGAGACTGATGCATTTAGGCGCGCGTTTCAAATTCAAATCCGTTGAGGAGCTGCAACATGGCGCTTGCTCTGATTGTAATATTCCTGAAATCAAAAACAATGTATCGGACTGATACAGATCACGTGACATGCGCATAGAATCGTACGCGCAACAAGCGGGTGGACAGTTAGACACCTATCGGCTGGAAGCAGATTTCGTGGCGCTGCGTGCAGGCCTTAACCAGGCTAAACGATCTTATACTCATGAGGCATGACACTCCAATACCTGATACTCAACGTATAAAGCGTATCTACGACCCATAGTATGAGCAGTGTTCAGCGGGTCGAGAACACGCTCGGTACTCCGTGAAGAGTTTGAAAAATGCCTGAGCGTGCGACCGTTTCTAATCCTATATCTAAAACAGTTTATCTTTTACTCGAAGATGGTTCTGTCTTCGCGGGAAGACATTTCGGCGCGGAAAAACCGGTTGATGGTGAAATAGGTGAGTGTCGGAACACGTGCTCGTCCATTGGGTTGAATATGTAGCACGTGCACGATTCTTGTAACGATCGCTTCGACTGTCGTCGTCTCCCTTTCGTCGTACTTTTCATTTTAATTAAAGCATTATGATCGTCGTCCCTTTTGACTACCATATGATTATGTTTTCACGCTTCGACGAGAAGAACGATATGCGCCTTGTGAAAATGGATGATTAAAGAGCCACGTGGGACTATTCCATAGCATGTACTAGCTTATCGTTTACTGGAGAAGATTATCTTTGCATGTTCGGTATTAGTTCTGGAAGAATTCATACGGAAAATATGTTTGCGTATAGAATACAAAGATAACGTTGTTTACGTTCACTGCGATGTTTATATTCGTATACATTATAAAAATTCAAGTTTCATCCTATTAGAATTTTGCGTGAATTCATTTACTCGGTTCCTTTTCTAAATATATTCGACGATTTAAAATCATAGTCGTGTATGTTTAGATCGGATTTTCGTATTTCAGTGGATCAAATCGAAGATAAAAGCGTTGTCTCTAATTACAAGAGAGTTGATGTTTGGTGTTTGTATAGTTGGGAAGTTACGGCTAGAGTTTTTGTATGGAACATTGTATACAAACATATACTATCCGCACTGATACATTTTTTACAGTGTTTCAGACTGGTATGGTGGGTTACCCAGAATCACTCACAGATCCTTCTTACCACTCTCAAATTTTAGTGCTGACATATCCGATAATTGGAAATTATGGAGTATTTGACGACGAGGTGGACAACCATAAAATACCATAGTAAGAGGTTTAAAAGTAATAACAGCTACTTAGTAGCTAAAGCAAGAAATTTCGTTGGGAAATCCATTCTTAAAAAATCTTACCTTTCGCGACTACCTTGATTTTTTTTCGATACTCAGTTTGTTGTTGTTACGAATATCTAAAAATAGATAAGTTTCTTAGCATCGATGATCATAACAAACATGTTTGCCATTACAGTTGGTTCGAATCTCATCGAATTTGGGCGGCTGCTCTGGTGGTCGGTGAGATATGCGAAACACCGAGCCATTGGCGGCAAACCAGGACGCTGTCCAAATGGATGAAGGAACAAAATATACCAGGCATATACGAAATCGATACCAGAGCTCTGACAAAGATTATTCGAGAGAAAGGCACTATATTAGGTAGAATCGTGTTCGATCCACCAGTTTCTAATCCCGTTGCCTCCTTGATTCCTCCGATAGCGGACCCGAACAGCAGACATCTCGTCGCGGAAGTGGTCCAGGTACGCAACAACAGGATTTGTCCCCTCGAATTCGACGCTTTATTTCACTTCGCCGTTTTTTATTTTAACTTACAAACCTTTTTTCTATTTTTAATTTAAACTTAAATTATTTAAATTTAATTTAAATTTAAATTTAATTCAATTTTTAAATTTTAAATTTAAAATTTTAAATTTAAATTAAATTCAAATTTAAATTAAATTTAAATTAAATTCAAATTTAAATTTGAATTTGAATTTGAATTTAATTTAATTTAAATTTAAATTTAATTTAAATTTGAATTTAATTTAATTTAAATTCAAAATTTAAAATATAAAATAATTTAAATTATTCTAGTTTAGAACTTTTTAAAAATTGAAAATCGATATTACGTTAGTTATATGACACTCGATACTCGATCTCGGTCATTTTTCACGCGTGTAATTTTCAATGTATTTTAAAAAAAATTATGATATCTAATACGAACCATTTGAGATAAGGTATCGAATGCTGTTTAGACAGCAAAGGGTTGAACTTCAAAGCTACTCCGAGCC